TGAAGATGAGGATAGTGCTGACAGATCAACTTCCAGTTCATTGCGGGGCGCGACGCTTCCCTACCCCCGCAGAGCAGCGTGAAATTTATAAATAGATTTCGGAACGGTAAGAGAAACAAATCACCTCTCTCTCACTTTCTTCATGCCTTTATCCATTTTTTGCAGCAATTCCACTTTTTTTTAATGGACATCGAAACATGCTTTCGCTTTGTAAATCCTTTAGCAGCTCCCCAGAATGGGAAAACTCTTATTTGACATAATCAAGTCAAGCTTACTTTTTATAAAATCGCTCTCAACAGTCTGCAAAAAATAATAAAGCCAGAGCCAATTTTAAGAAGATTAAGGAACAACCCAATCTGTATACATACTGAAATAGATATTAGGGACATTTGCTCTCATCGTTTTATACCGCCGTTATAATTAAACGCGCTGCGTAAAGGTATTATGCAAACACTAGTAGAAAGTTTTGTAGCTTTGAGGTCCTGGTGATAAAAGGTTAAAACTACTAATCTGGAGGTAATAAGCACAGATGCTCTAAGAATGTAAGCAGTAATAATTTGCTGTCTTTTTAAAGTGTATAAAGTCTCACATACTGCTCTGTTAACAAAATAAGGCTTTATTAGCAGCGAGAAAACTTCTATACTATTTGCAAGGGAAAAAGGTGATGTCTATTAAGAATATGAAGAACACTTATAACAAACAGTAATATTAATACATATTTTCATAAGAATTCCATTAGATAATACCCTGCCTACATATATATTTTGAAGTTTCTGAAATTTGGCAGTATAGTAATTTTATCATTTGTAGTTAAATTTGTAGTCACTCATAGATTTTATTACTTTGTAAGGGGAAAAAATTAATATTTTATCTAAAAATTTAATGCATTTTTAAAAAAATTAAGATTTATTTCTATTTTCGTTCCACAGGGTATCAGAAAACAATATAATTAATGTTACTAGTACATGTGTGATATTTCCATTCATTATAGTACATTATTTTATACATTAAAAAAAAATTAGGGGTCAATTTCATGGTCTGCATTTTCCTACAAACACTGTTAAGATTTTTCTATATATATTGTTAAGTTCATTAAGCATTACTTAACCCCTTTCAGTTGGAGCAGCCTCCCCACACATTGCAGCAAAATATTACATAGTATTATAAGAGCATTTCCCCTCCTACATCAGGAGTAATAATTTATAAATTACAGTTTGCATAAAGAATGGAAGCTACCCATCCTATATTTCTCTCTTTAAATTAAAACTAATAATCCATGAGTTACATAATGATTTAAATGTAAACTTGAAGGTTTAAAATAAGAAATTATACACATAGGAGAAACTATAGCACAGATAATAAACAGCTATTTAATTTTTTAAAGAAAGGGAAAGCATTGGTCAGATGCAGATAACCCATTAATAATAGTAATAATGATATCTCCTTTTTTCTTTGAAATGTGATCTTGCACATTTCAAAGAAGCTTTCAAAGCTTCATAAGATTTCAAAATCAAATTAACAGATCTTGTAGCCTCTAAGGAAGCTTGTTTATTATTTTTACAGGCATTATTTTTCTTAACAGAATATCAGATAGCTGTTCCAAAGTTTATGTTTACAAATAATTCAGTCTCTTTGGTTAGTTAGTTATGGCAAAAATTCCAAGCACTACTTGCTTAAACATACAAGTGGTTATTTAGATGATTATCTACAAGAATCTGGATTACATTTACATTGCTTAAAGTTATAAAAATCCCATGCAGTTAGTTTATACAACACATGGAAAAATGAGCCCAAGATAGATTACTAGTGTTTCAAGTTTCAACCGCACAGTCTGTAGTGTAGATATTCTCAAACTTTTAAAATTTTATGTCATATAAATAAAACAAAAATAAATGTAGAATCATATACAAAGAGTCACCATTTTACATTAATTTAAATTTCTTGTGTAAAAATGGTGGCACCTAAAACAAAATAATGTATCATATTAGCAGTATAGTTTCAGAAGCCCTGCACTAATGGGTCTTGGCTTCTAAAATCATTCATAACTTTAGAAAGTGTAGCATTGCTTTTCAAAGATTATCTGGGATATTTGTTTCTTTTCATATCAAATTCAACTGTATTCTTTCATTTCTTCTAAGGTCATTAGTAAACCTCAAATACTCAATTTTTAAGAACTATATGATAGGCATTTTCAAGCAGTTGTAACAGTGTACACAGAAACTGGAACATATCAAAATGAGAAAAGATGATTTTTTATACTTTTTTAAATGATTTTCTTTTAAAATTAAACTATTACATTTAATCTATAAATAAATCTATAATGTTGAAAATTTTCATGATACATATAACACTCAAACTAACAAATAAATAAATTATTATGGTTAAAAATATAACGTCTTCATCAATCAAGTAACAGTAGACTTGCAACATTATCAAGTTCTTTACTTTCCTCTTCTAATGTCTCATTATATGAAGTAAATAGTTTTTATGTGAAGTAAATAATGTTTTAATATATTACATTTTTACAATATAAGTATTTTTTTGCATTTGGTCTTTAAGTGAATATGAATCGGATATTTCGGCAGTGGTTTCGGCAGTTTCGAAGCTATCTCCCCTACCCTAAGAAATTTCATAGCAATTTTATTTCCTTCACTTTTTCACTCAATTTCCAATCTATATTTTACATGCATCACATGTATAAAACTAGGAACACCATTAAAAGAAGTAAAAAAAAAAAAAAAAAAAGAGCTCTTTTAAGGCTTCTACAAAATTTGAAAATATAGAAAATGGCACACAAGAAAAAGGTTTTCAACTAAAAAGTAATTTTTAATGATAGAACTTTTATGTACGTACTTACTGATTTTATTTTATCAATTTATTAGAAATAACAGATTTAAAAATATAAAGAAGACTATCACATTTTAAAATTTCATGGTATTTTGTGAATTTAGGACATTGTGGAATGTAATTTAAACAAACCAATAACTTTATTGGTTTGTTTTACTTAATTTATTTATTTTAAATATTTATTTGGTTGATCTTTACAATATGGTAACTGGTAGTTTGGCGACATTTTGGAGGTGATAAAGGTTACTACCTGGGACTTTAGTAATAATGTTAGCAGTACTCAGTTCCGATTACGCATTATTTTGTGTGAGGGAAATGAGAGATCATGGGATATGTCATGTGATATTAATGGACGAATTACGGTTCTTTAATCGGAAAAGGGGGCAAATCGGGAAAAAATCTGGAAGTTTTGTATTTGGCTTTATTCTGTGTTGTGTGAAACAGTGTTCGTGAACTTTTTGGATCCCATGGCCGTAACTAAAGTGAATTCGAAATGGGTATTTATGTATGTATTAATTTAATGTATGTGCTCATTTATATTTTAAGTAGTGTTTTTGAATTTAATTATATTTTAATTAAATGATAGTTATTTTGTGAATTTTATGTTTGTAGGAATTTGGTATACGTTTAGTTGAAGTAAACGTGCATGGAATAATTTAAATTTTTGATACTAAGTATTTGTAATGCTTGTGGTATGAATTCGTTGGTGACGTGTATAATGTAATAGATGATTTAGAGGTTTTTGGATATTTTATTTATTTTATATGTGGAAATGTTCATATTGGAAAGGGTAAATACTTTTTCGCGATCAGGTAATTTATATGTTCTTTTTACCGGGTTTAAAGATTGAGAAAATGTCATGTATTTTCGTGAAATTTTTCTAATTTATGAGAAAAAAGCAGTGTACATGGATATAGTGAAGAGTGTGAGCAATGCCATTTTTGTGCAATTCTGGAATGTTTTTTAAGTAAAAATAAGTCGGCGTGTACATGGTTTATGTGTATGTGTTATTTTGAAAAACGCGTAAGGAGTATGGTATTGTGCACTTTTCCCAATTTTGCAGTGAATATTTGTCATGATTAAGCAGTTTTGTTAGATAAAATTTCTAGCATAAGTGTAATTCGGCTAGTAGATTGTTGGAAGAAGTGTTCAGTAGATAAAAAGAAAAGAAACATGTCTTTACTTCATGAAGACAAAATGGCGGCGGGAAAAAAAAATAGAGGGTTGCTGTAGGAGAGTTGGTCGCCAAAAAAAACGCCAAGTTACCATAATGTAAAGATCAACCATTTATTTTTCTTTTAATATGTAACCAAATCAGTTACATATTAAAACAAAATTTAATTAAATATTAAAAATATGAAATCATTGCAGATATTCCACATTTAATTGGGGGAGGCAGATATTAAAGCATATTTTTAAAATGAGTTTCAAATTTACTTAGCATAATTTAACCATTAATAAAGCTTAATCTTGCAGAAAAAATTAGCTATTAAAGTTGTAAAAACGATTAATTCACATAATACAAATACCACACAAACATTATACTAAGGAGTTGTCAACATTTTTATTTAAATAAATTAATGAGAATATTTTCTGTTAGTTATGATCATCTTCAACAAAAGCAAACAATTGCAAACTGAGTATTTTAAAGTTTTATATATATAAACATATTTGCAATTACCTAACAGTTACAGCACTAACATAATATGAAGTACAGATCATCAGAAGAGAGGGGACTGCAATTATAAGCCAATAAATATTCTTTAATACAGGGAAGAAAAAATATGTAAAGTACTTGGTGCAAGAAATACGAACAAATTTTCAATGAGCAAAAATATTACTTATAAATGTATTTTAAACACTGCAATAAGCAACATTTTAAGAAAACATTGATCAAATTTATTCATTTGTTTACAAATGAATGGAGAGTTACGGTGTCTCTTTGTGGTCACGGTAAAGCGGTAATACATAAATGAAGCTCTTCTTCCACATGGTATTTACCTAATATACATATTCTGCACTTGGGGCATAGCATAGGATACATCAAAGTATCGGACCATTCCAATGCCTCCATTGGAGGGGGAAGGTATATATAAACAAGAGAAGGGGTGCTTTATTAAAACAATCATACAATGAAAGCGTCCGGTACTTACCTGTCTGTGCTAGGTGATCTTCCAATCCGCGCAGCAAATGTTTCTCTTTCAAAATTGAATCCATTAAATTTCTGCGACAGTGATGATTTTAGAAAAGGTTCGATGGTCGCAGATGGAAGAGTGCCATTAAGACGTTCTAAGCATTTCGATACAATATCCGAATCATTATGCATTCCATTTTTGTCGAAGGAAGGTGAAAAGATTGCATTCACCTGAAGTAAACGCACGCAATTGTTGTTTTTCCGATCCATAGCCATTTCAACCGCAGCGGCTTCGACTAGCTGAGCCAAGCCGCTAGCCGCCATCTTGATCCTGCTTCTCCCTCAACTCCGATCCGAACGGAGAAGTCTTTCTTTTTTTCCCCCTATGCATCCCGGAAAAGGGACGGTTTTCCCTTTACGGAGGGAAAGCCGTTGCTACCCAGCCGGTTGGTGATGGGGCGAAGCTGCAGTTGAAAGGAAATATAAGGGGTCCGGCAAAATTTTTTTTTTTTCAATCGTAGGTTTCTGCTTGAAGCACAATTTTTTTTACATAAACAATTTTTATTTTAGTTTTTGTGGTCTTTTGCGAAAAAATTTCTTTTCATTATTTTAGTGATATCGTTTATTAGTAAACAACGAAATTTTAACATTTTCCGTTTAATCAGAAGCATAGAAAGTTAAGACAAGAACTAAGAAATTTTTAACACGGAAGGTTTAATTATTATTATATATTTAAATACTAAACAAAGCTCCACTTTCTGACTGTCTGTGATGGCTTTGTTATTATTCGAACTAGTATCTTAAATAAATAAAAGGGCATTTATAATCTCTGAAAATTATGTAAAAGAAAAAATGTGGTTTTATTTGAGGTATAAATTTACCTAGTTTCCTAATAATACTAAATATTTTTCAAAAAATAAAATATTTATATTTATTAATATTTAATAATAATTCATTCTTATAAACATTTATTTATGTTTAATAACTTTTATAATTAATAGTTTCTCTTAGGGACGGGAAAGTCATGTTACAAAAGCGGTTCTATCAAATTATGGAGGGGGAGGGTATTTTAGACAATATTGTATTGCATTGCACTGGAAATTTTAAATAATCTTGGAAGACTTCTTTCATTCTGATTTCTGTTTTGCTTTATTTCCTCTTGTCAGAAACTGGTGAATTCTTAAAATTTATCATTTCGTGGAATTATCTAATAGTTTTCCGTTTTTCTATTTGAAAATTTAGAAAATATACTTCCTTGAAGAAGCCACAACAATAAATGTAAAACCGACATAAATTCTGCACAAATTATATTGAAAAATTCAAAGAGAGTAATTACCACCTAATGCATTTTGATGCAAAAAAATGTCATAAAGTGTATACTGAATTTACTATAATTAATTTGTTCGCAAGCTCAGTAGTGTAACTTCACTTTAGTTCTAAGCTCTGCTAAAAACAAAATACAATTTTCGAGCTGAATACTTTATTCCTGGAAAAGATATTGTAAATGTAAGAATAAGTTAACGTGTTTATTAAAAAAAAAAAAAAAAACGCTTTCGTGAGACATACAATTACGTCCCCCCTTCTTCATTTCTCTGCTAAGGAGTTAGACGTTATATATAATTACAATGTATAACAGACGTTGCTTAATGTGACGGTGGTTAATGCTATTCAGAGATTATTATCGAACTGTGGAAGTCCCTCCTGTTTGTGTACGAAAACGCGGAAAAGACATTGATTATTGTGATCAACAATTCGGTTACTACATAAGGCGGCCCTTAGTGTGATTACGTTTGACCATGGTTATTTTCACAGCATTTAATTACATATAAATACATATTTTTACACATTTCAACTAGGAAAAAAAAGTCATAATTGGTGGGTTGTCTGATAGTTTTATGCTAAACCTTATTTCTGAACATCGTCTAATGTTTCTCGGATGTATTTGACCGATGTTGTATGATATGACTTTAATCCTTAATTTTAATACTCAGAGGGTGTTCCTTATGTCAGCATTTACAGAGATTTTGTGATTTCGTCTATATGTTCTTCAGAAAGTTTATTACACAGGGTTCGTACACATTTTTGCACATGGAAATTAAGTACTTTTAAGGACCATTAATGAATAAAATTCAGGACCTATCAGCAAATGGAACTGAATTAATTCAATTAAAGATATTATCTATGCCTGATCTTCACGTTTGTAATACCACCCTAAGAATAAAACAGATCCGTAAATTGGATGCATTATATTAAACATAATTTAATAAATTAATTGTAAAACAAATCTGACAATAACATCAATTTTGTAAAATTTATCAAATAGCATTCAATATTTTACACTTATAATACTTGAACATGTTTTTCAAGAAGATTAGTGACATTTTATTTACGTTTTAAAAACCGTTAGCTTTATGTTGAATTTTTTCTTTTATGTTTCATTTCGTGATGCACTTATCCAGTCTAGAGGTTTAATAAATAACAGGCAGATTTTATATGAAAACGGCATAAGTTAAAATGAGAAGGTGTCGTGAGAATTTTAAAGTATATATTTTAAATTAATATAACAGGTGACAGAAAATTATTTTTAAAGGGATAGATATTAGTAGTAACATAATCTTTCAATCATGTTTTATTCCTTTTTGAAAAAACAGTTTGGTGGAATTTGGATTCCTTTGTTAACTTTTAATCGCTTTTCGTTGAATGCTATGTTCTGCTATAAATAACATTACAGCTAAATCATTTGAAAACACTTTTAAAGGCGACTGAGGATGAGGGGATCCGATCGCCAAATCTTGGTCGTGATGAATTATCGTCCGCCATCTTTTACTTCGGGGGCCACTTGTAGTCTTTAAAGTAGGAGACGTCAAAAACGTGCAGTGCTCTCGCTGGATCTTGAACCCTGGACCTCTCAAATACACATAGAGCATGCTTCCAATTACACTATGAAGGCATGCAGAAAAGGGGGGGAAATACCTTATAAGATATTATTACAGTAGAACCTCCAACTGTGGTTTCCCCAACGATCGTTCGCCATTTTTGCTTCCATAATAAATTCTATGCCATTGACATTTCCGCATTCATTATTACATAAAATATAGTTTTCACACTAACCGTTTGTAAATAGTGTTCATGTGACAGCCTTTTTGGTGTAGTTCTTTCAAAAAAAAAATATATTTCGAGTGCATATTTAGTATTGACTTCACCTTCTCTTTGGATTGTAAATACAAGGCAATACACTAATTCAGAAATACGTCTACTGGTCTCTAAAGCTTTAACCATTTCCGAATTTTATTGTATTTCAAGTTGCAGAAGTTTTGCTGCATTCCTTCGTGTATTTTCGCCCTTCTTTAATTAATTTTATCGTCTGAAAATTGAGAAGGAAAAAATATGGGATAAATTTAATTTCTGAAGAACGCGGTTACAGTAAGAGCACTGCAAATACAAAGTATTAATGGATAAACTATTGATAATTGTCACAATTTTAATTCTTCAAAATAAACTTATATTCTAATAAGATTACATACTAATATTAACAGTATAATATCTGATGGCTACTGAGCCGAAATCTGAAGGATATATGACGGTAATTGAGCCGGATATGTCGTGCTCAGTTATCTTGTAAAGCCCCCCAAGGGCACCTCATGAATGAGTCTTGACCGCACTTCTTGGGGAACCAAGAGGAAGATCCTAGAAACGAAAGAGGAACAGGCGAACAAAAGATCAGGATTTCGAAAGAATGAACATATCAGCAGTAGATGATAAGACTACAATGAACTTTATATAAATAACAGAAATAAGATAATCATATCTTTGAAAAGTTTCTTAAGTGTGAGAACACCCGCGACTTCCAGATAGCTTACCCAGGAATCTGCACAAAATAAGTTTCAAATAGCAAATGCAAGAGAAATATGATGGATGAAATGCTAATGCAAAAGTGCAAATACAAATTGAATGTACCCAATAAAATTTTTTAAAAAAATCAAGGGGATACAATTTACCAATAAACTAGCCTTCAGAGCGAAAACTTAGGAAGTAATATAATTAAACAGAAAGTAAAATAAAAGATTTTGTGTACAATAAAAAACGGGGTAAATTATGCTAATATTTTTTGAAATTTTCAGAACCTAGGGTTAAAAAGCTGGGGGGAAAATACCCGAGGAATTACGCTATTTCTGTTAGTTTTTAGTAGTTTTAGGATTAGTTTAAAGTTTGAGTATGGAGGAAGAAGTTTAAGAAAAAAATTTCGCACAAGGAAGTTATGTGTAGACCACATGACTTCATTGTGCGGAATATTAATTTATACGCATTTTTCCCTGCATTTCATTTAAACTTATACCCTCGAATTTCATTAGAGATATATTTCTCATTCAAATAATTCAGATCTCACTTCGCGACAAGGCAAAAATACATAAAACTCAGAATATCTGTATTAAAAATTGAAAGATATAGAAAAACATAAAACACCAAATACAGTTAAAACAATTTAAAAAAACAACCGTTTTTACAATTAAAATTAGAGTTTCTACGCAAAAACAAGCAATTCGGGCAGTGGGCAAGACGGCAGATATTTCGGTGCACAGAACTAAAAGTTTACTTTTGTTCTTACTAGGCAAAAAGACACTGAAGGCGTAGAAACTGACGTGTTGTGGACGCTATGCTGAGTGAATATATGAGATAATTTAATAACTTAAATGATAATTCCAGAATAGATTAAGAATGATTTAATTCGCAATAATAAAAGAAGACGTTACTTTGTTGTTGCGAAACTTACTTTCTCTAGATTGGTGACAAGTCCACTGTTCTGCTAAGCTTCAAATGTAAACAAATATGGCTGCTATGGTTAAAAAAAGTTAGGCTTAGCCGCACTTAAACAACTCTTAAATTTTTGATAATTCTACAACTATAACATGCAGGTTAACTAAAGGCATAATTTCATTAGAGATAAGCACAACATAATTTTGATCATTTTTAAAGTAAAAAATGCACAATTTACCAATATATAAGATTAAAAACAATGAGCTCACGGAGCCGAGTAACAGATTAGGTATATATATATATATTTATATTTATATACTTTTGGAGCGGCCGATTGCAACCAAAAAGAGAGGTGCACAAATACATGTTATAGCAGTCCTATACACAAAATTTCAACGGTCTGGCTACTCGTTTTTATGCGAGATACATACATACATACATACGTACGTAAGTACAGACGTCACATGAAAATCTCTTCTGAATCCATTTTAAATCAGTTTTAAAATTCGTTTGGGAAAAAAAAAAAAAAGAGTCCTTTATTGTGTACGTACAGATGTCACGCAAAAACA